TGTCTACAATTCATCAAGACCATCAAACGATGGTTGTTCCCAAAGCAAGGCGACCATGACATACTTGACTCTACTTGAGAAGGTTGACAGCGAAGGTGGATCAAGTTATGACTGGTCGGAACGGAGTGTCATTCTATGCTCAGGACTATCGGTTTGTCTGAATACAAGGCCTCACCGTATCACGACGCACAAGAAAAGGTGCTAGTGACGGAAAAGGCTAGGTTGAAAGCAACCGTAGGCTAACTATGGCCTACAGGAAGGACGATATGGAGACTTACCAAAAGACCGTTGAGGCCAGCCTATGCCATGGATGGATCAATCCAGTTTCCTTCTAGCCTCGATCATCTCAGGGAGAGCTTGTCCAATGACAGGTTCATAGACAAGCAAAGAATGGTTGGAACAGCGGAAGGGCAGGGTAACGGGAAACCATACTTCCAATCCCAATAAGCCACCTCCTTTTGATCCTAAGAAGATGAAGGAAGGGCTCCCAGCTGCTGTCTTCTACTCAGCAGTCCCAGCCGGGCGAAGCCTGCTACTGTCGTGGGTAAGCCCAGATCACAAACTTTCGCAGTGCAAGGTTAAGATCAAGATCCCCAAGCCTGAATTGGCCATCAACAGTTCGATGGCATGACAAGATCTTCATGCTCCAGTATCACAACACCAGACTGCAGCTACTCCAAGAGTGCCCACCACAGTGGTAACGGCGCCAGCTCCAGCTCAGCTGGAGACTCTTCGAGCAAGAGTGGATTCAGTGGAGTCCTCCACCTCCTACGAGCCAGTCGCAACTTTCAAGCAGTTCCCCGATGTCAAGCAAGCCTCCCAGGCAGGCGGCAGGGTCATTGCAGTTCCACTTCCAGCACCATCAAGTCGATGGAGTCCACGCCCCTGATGGACAGAGATGATTCAACCACGACAGTTAGCCGGAAGCTTCCATCGAATGGGGAGCATTCGCTACCGATTTGCCTTGAGGCATCCCGCTTTATGAGAGGAGTGGTAGGCATGACGAGACATCATCCGAAGAAAGCTATCATTCCGGCTACGGACCATGATCAGCTTGCTGAGGGAGGTCTTGACGGTGTAAGCATCGGATCCGACCTATATCCTTCGCAGCGGTAGATAATGAACCATAATATAATTGTCAGTCGTTCTGCCTCACCTGACACCGTCTTCACACAACTCATGTAAGGAGTGAATCCTCGGATGGCAAGACGATGTGCAGAGCTGCTGATTCCGACAAGCTCAGGATCACAGAGAATGAATTTCGCTGCTGTGTACCGGTGGACCCAGCGCGGCGTCACAGGGAGAATCAGCGAGGCAATGTTATGAAGATTCAAAGACCAAGACTCACTATCAGTCAAAGACCAAGCTCACCGATCAGAAGTGTTTGCAATTTGAGTTCCCAGGATGGCAGATGCCGAACCACAGGAGTGGCAGAGCCAATCTTGCAAGAGTGTCGGTCAAGTCGCCTCATTCTGATGAGCCAACACAGTGTATCTCGACAGTGGCATTCATCCGAACTGTCATGAACCAGGACTATGATGGTCCGCAAGCGGCTATCTCCAGACCAATCGAGATGGACTACAATCGTTGGAAGCACCAAGCTTACCCAAGAAGGCGAACCCCTTACTGGAATTGTTATTCCAATCCAGGAGGCATCGCCAATATTCAACGCTTGTCTCTTGTCTGTGGATAGACGGCGTCAGGGCACAGGAGGGATCCTATGTCCTCATGGATTCAAGAGTCGACGACGCCATCTACCAATACCCCAAACGGCGATCCATACCAGGTATGGAAGGCCGCCAAAGTCTGTATGCTGTGCCTGATTGAGAAGACCTCTGGATCACAGGGCCCAACTCAACCAGTTTCACCGGAGTTCCAGAATTTGGTCCAGACGGTGGAGTGGAACCTCGAAGGCTTTACAAAAGCAAGCCAAGGGTGCTATTTTCTGCAAAGAATCTGATACCACACCTCCAAGCGCCCATCTTTGGAGGATACCGCAACATGATCAGGACTGGTCAAATTCGGCGACTGTCCCGTCAAGCTGGAGGACATCGATCGCGCCAAATTAATTTTCGGTAGCGACATGGGCAAGGCCTAGGGCTCTACTACACGCATACTGCCCGCCACCAGTGACCGGATAGTATCATGCTGTGCGGATGAGCTGGTGGCACCACACCGGTTCTTGACCGGATGCATGGATGTGTTTATGTCTGTGAGATTACCTTTCTAGCATTCACTCGCCTTGCAATCCGACACACGCGAATCAGCTCTACCTGACCAACAGGAAGAAGGGAAAATCATTCTAAGCCGCCATTGACAAGATTTCATTGATCGGAACGGAAATAATGATTTCAAGATTCAAGAAAGCCAGTGCGACCTGGAGTTCAAGAAGCCTGATGGATCCTGTCAAAAACGACATGGAGCTCATAGCTCAACCAATGGAGCGGCTCAGACTCACAGTGGTCCCGGCGAGCGCAACATCCGAGACCTCTGAAGGCAGCGCATCCGCGCCGGCTGGCATTCAACCCCGTTCATGGTGATGACCAAAGGTGATGATTGTGGAATTTGGTGTACGATAGTTAACTGTAAACTCAACCTTTTCCCTCGCTTGATGGAATCTCTCAAAGTGATCCTCCCAGGCAGATCTTGGAGGGTCTCCTGGTTCCTCAGTTTGCTCGCTACTTGGATCCTTATGACGAATACATGCACAACCGAATATTCTCAATCAAGCCATTGTAGCCGGCTGCGGTATAGCTACATCAACGACAGTGGCAACAGTACCGAAAGTTCGGCTTTGCTCCCTACGGTTACCGGTGCTACCTCGCATTGGATCCTTATGACGAATACATGCACAACCGAACATTGTCAATCCAGCCATCGTAGTAGCCAGCTACCGTAGAGTTCATCGATCATCAGTGACAGTGTCAACAGTACCGAACACACTCAGGTTCGACTTTGCTCGCTGCACTCGGTTACCTCACATTGGATCCTTATGACGAATACACGCACAACGGAATATTGTCAATCAAGCCATTGTAGCCAGCTGCCGTATAGCTAGTGGCAACAGTACTTGATTTGCGCATACAGGAAAATGGGTACCGACACAGGAATCACCACCAAAACAGTAGGAAATAACAAGAAGGGATGAATCCGGTAGGAGGATCCACTTTCTTGTGTGTTGTCGAGTAGCTAGCCTCGGCCGCTCCTGTTCCCTTTCAATGACTCGACGACGATAGGCTCCTCTGTTCAGGCTGTTGGTAGGGCTGGAGTTAACAGAGCCTCCTCCTCCGTAGCGGTAGCCTCTTCCTCTCTTGTTGTCCGGAGCGATCGATCCTTCGTTCAACTTCAACAATGGAATATCCTCAGCCGTCAGCAGTGAGAGAATAGAAAGTAAGAAATAGATATGGTTTTCTCTTCTCTTCTGATACTGCAGACAACCGGAGACTTACTCTTGTTTTTCAAATTACACCAACTTGGCCGTCATGGGCCGAGAACTGACTGCCTTCCCACGGTCCATAGGATTGAATGAGGGATGGCTTTCGCTTCTACACCGGAGACGACCGGCTTGAGTGAGGCTTGGATAACAGAGAATCAGAGGTGCGATCGATCGATTCGAATAATTAAAACAACTCACCTGTTGACTGTCAAGCTCGGATTTATCTCCTGAATACCATAGAAATCCAATGAGGGAGAGAAGTCAGCGCTGTACCTTCAATTAACACTCTTGGTAATACTAGAAGGCTTACCTCGAATCGATTCGATCGATCGGCCGATTGGATAAAGCACTCACCATGCATTGTTGTCGGCCAAGCTTGGATTTACCTCCTGTTTACCATACGAATTCAATGAGGGAGAGAAGTTAGTGCTGCGCCTTCAATAATGGACTTGAACCATTCATTGTACTGGTACATGTACTCAATCAGTTTATCCTTAACCTTAGTAACTTCAACGGTCATTTTTTCCACGAATCGATCTATTTTTGTCGAACGAGAACCTGTTACTTATGGATACACATGACCGTTGATTCTGCAACTGAAGTGCGGGTACACTAATTTACACAGTAAATGCGGGCGAATCGATTTCGGAGTGCAACTGAAGGGGTAACCAAAAGGTGCGTCGTCTCGAAGAGACGTAATACGTACAATACGTACAATACGTACGATGCATATTATACATGATACCCTTGAAACTCAAAACCTTAAGGTGCGTGCTTTTGGGGGCCTCTCGTGCCACAGCTGTACCAGTTACTGCCAGAATACCGTAGTGAGTCGAGTCGTACGATGTGAATCCTCCAATCGTGATGGCTCGAGATATTTTAAAAGGCCCATGCAAGAACCTTGAAGTACCATAATTTTAAAAAGGAGTAGACTACCGTTGTGGATCAGGCCTGCTCTGTGAGTAATTTGTTAATTATTCATATCCAGCCAGAATGTTCTCTGCTCCTCCAGGACTCTTACCGTAGATCTGGAAGGACATAGAGATTTAAGTTAGTTTTTGGAAAAAGAAGAGTGCCACACTGCAATCGTGCCATGGCTCTTTCGACGAAGCGAAGCCCGGGCCTGCGTTGGTCCGGAAGCATTGCTCATGCATGAGAAGCCGACCTTTCGGCTCAGCACCGGCATCACACTATAGCTTTCAGTGCATTTTGTGGTTGGGATCACCACAAGCGCAAAGAAGTTTCACCAAAGAGACAGCTGCCATTGCTGCCATATCTCTAGCTTGTGGCTAATAACAGTCCAAAAGTCAATCCTCACTTCCTCTGCACAACAGTGATCCTTCCTGTCGATCGTTCCAAGCCACCTGAAGGATCGAGCCTTCGACAAAATCTGAACGTCAATTAACACGTGTTACCGGATTCAGCCAAGAAAGTGCTTTTAAAGGACGACCCACCAGTGGAGAACCGGCTGTTTCTCACATTCAAGTCTGCTCACTGGCCTCACTAGCCTCCTGAGAGGGTGCGACGCCTATTAGCTGTCGAGCCTTCGACAGACACATCAACAATGCACAGCGGAATTCCAGACACTCGCGGCAATCGAAACGGCGTCTGCTCGGAGAACCCAGAGCCCAATGATGAAACCGGTAATCGTATCCCACTCAACCATGAATACTGGGATCCTCATAGAGAGAGCGATACCACCAATCCCAATGGCTCTGGTGAGGAGGATTTCAGCTACACCGCACCGGACGATGCTGAAATTGACTGCGTATCGGTTAACCCCGAGATTGACCCAGACGACAGCACAAGTTCTTGGTTTGAAGCAGAGGAATCAGACGTCGAGAAGGGCCATGAAGATGGGGAAGAACAAGAAGTGGCTTTTGTGGAACAGGATGATCAAAGTTATTCGAGTGATGGTGACGAGAGTGTTTCCATTGATTCAGATCAAATGAAGGAAGAAGCCATCCGTTCCAGCTTCTTTTGGGTATTGCTGAATGCCATTGGCTGCTCAGTCCTCGCACCACTTTTGGCGCCCCTCGCCAATGCAGCCAATGGTCTTTTCGTCAAGATATCTAGCAAGTTGTCCCGTACACCAGAAGGGGAGGAAGGAAATAACTTGGCTGTAGAGGAAGTCCTGGATAACGCAGGTGGTGCCACCTTTGATCCATTCAGCACGGGGACTTCCACTGGTGGAGGCGGTGGAGGCGGTGGTGGTGGAGCTGGCATGGGAGGAGGCATGGCAGGACCGGCCCCTCCTGGCGGGATTGTGGGACCTCCTCCCGGCGTTGCAGAAATGGCTACGTCTGCAGTACGTCTACATGCTTGTTGCTGTTGCTGCTTCTGCCCTGCAATACTAACCCATGGAAATCTACATTCTTTCCAAACTCTGGATAATTTCAGGCACAAGGTGCGGCCAGTGCGTCTGCATCAGGAGCTGCTAGTGCTGGTGCAGCTGGAGCGGCGGCTGGAGGTAAGGCCCAACAGTCGACACATGTACTGCTCATAATTATGTGATTGCCCTGACAGTAGAATTTTATTCTCTCTTTCCAGGATTGTCTGGTGTTGCTGGGATGGCTGGAGCAGCTGCCGGTGCTGGAGCAGCAACCCAAGCTGCTGTGGCAGTGAGTGTGGGTAAGCCTATCCTTGCAAGATTTTACTATTTATCACGATCACTTTGTCTAATTTTCCTCTGTAATCATTTTGTGAAATCAGCGGCCGTGGCAGCAGCAGCAGCAGCAGTATCCAGCGGAGTCACCACACCAACCCCAGTGCCTGCACCTCCCCCACTCCCTATTTTTGATGATTTTGTACCGCCTGTATGTTCTGATCAGTCCCTGTTGAAGGTGGGCTTTCTTGAGCTTCAAATCATGGGAATTCCTCCGGATACCCTGTTTGATCCCCGCAAGAAGAAGCTACTGGAGATTCTCTTTCGAGATGTCTACAATGAGATTACGGTGAGTCGGTTGGATCAATCGGTCCCCGCAGTGTGTTGAATGATTGATTGTAGCAAGCCCATTGAACTCACGTTATATATTGCTTCTTGGAGGGAATGTGTTTGGATCAGTATTACCGTGTGTTGCACTTTGCTGAGGTTGTCGACTGGGAAACGGACTGGGGAAACTTTACCACCAACAGTACCCACAGCATCTTCTTGCCAGGTTTTTTGGGGGATCCCGAAGAAGAATTTTTTGATGCAGGAGTATTTGCTGGCAGCTTGAACAGCACAAACATGACCGTCCACCTTGCCAATGCCACTACCAATGGCACGGAACCGCCGATGAATGGCACTGTTCTGTCCCCAAATCCTACAAACAGCACTGCCTTCAACAGCTCTGTAGAGACAAACTACACAGAATTTCCCAATTCGTCTCTGCCAAGGGCTACTCAGTCACCTGAGGTCCCCCAAGTAACCCTCGATCCATTCACTGAATGGCTCTACCGCACAGACACATCCTTGGAAGAGTATAGAGAGCTGGTAGCCAGCAGTGTCACCACAACCACTTGGATGGCCCATGTTGGCTGCGTTGGTTGTCCGGACCATGAACCACTATTTGAGCTTCCCGATGGACCAGATTCCAGTTCAAGAGGAAGAAGAAGAATGGCGCTTTCCTGTCGCCTTACAAAGTATCAGCATGCCTCTCTCCAAAGGAAATTGAAGAACATATTTGGGAGTCGGAATTTTGACATGGCTGAATTCTTTCCTCTCTTTGCTGCTTCCTTTGGATACAATCTTGACACCACCTTGCGCAATGATGGGCAGAATGGCACTCTCACTATTGTTGGTACGAATGGGACCGAAGACGTTAATGATGGCTTCCAGTCGTCAGTCATTTTTGGTACCACCCGAGCTGTGACTCCAGATGGAGAGATCGATGCTCAGTCTGAGCCTGTTAGTAGCATTGGAGCGACCACCATTAGTCAAGCTTTGCAGCTAGTTGAAGCAAACAATGGAACTATTCGAACACCCTTTGTTAACACTGAGCTCTCAACCATTGAAGATTGTGTTGAAGAATCTTCTGCTGGTAATGGACAATCAGACTTCTGCAAGAACGTACTCGATGATGCAGGTGTTGATATTCAGACTTTGGGAATCTGCTTGGAGAACCCAAACTCCAATGACTGCCAGGAGATCTTGCCAGGTGTCATTGAATCCTCAGAGAAAGTTCTGGAGGCTGAAGAAACAAGTTCAGGCAGCGGAGGAAATGGTGATGTTGCTAGTGAGGATGATGGCTCAGTTGGCAGTGGTGATGACTCTGACAGTGGAGGGACTGTGACTATAAGCGAAACAGTCAATGAAATTCAGAATGACCGTTCTCAGAGTGGCGCTGATGAAATTGGTAAGGAAGAGCCTGGAAGTGACAGTGAGAGTAGCTCTGCCAATTACCCTATGACTGCAACCCCAACAGTTCCCCCAGGGAGTCCCTCTGCAAGCCCATCAACTACTGTACCAACAGTGACATTTGGAAGTCCCAGCTCTGCTCCAACCAGTGGTACCCCTACAGTATTACCTGGAAGTCCCAGCAGTAACCCCACCACTGATTCTCCTACAGTTCCTCCTGGGAGTCCCTCTGCAATCCCATCAACTACTGTACCTAGAGTGACAGCAGGAAATCCCAGCTCTGCTCCAACCAGTGGCACCCCTACAGTATTGCCTGGAAGTCCCAGCAGCAATCCCACTCCTGGTTCTCCAACAGTAACTCCAGGGAGTCCATCGGCCAGTCCATCAACTACTGTACCAACAGTGACAGCAGGCAATCCCAGTTCTGCTCCAACAAGTGGTGCCCCTACAATATTGCATGGAAGTCCCAGCAGTAACCCCACAACTGTTTCTCCAACAATGCCTCCAGGGAGTCCCTCTGCAAGGTCATCAACTACTGGACCAACAGTAACTCCAGGGAGTCCTTCTGCAAGCCCATCAACTGCTTCTCCCACAGTAAAACCAGGAAGTCCATCAGGCAGCCCCTCAACATCTGTGCCAACGCCAACAGTGGCAATTCTGATTCCTTCCAGTGGCATACCGGCTGAATCCCCTGGGAGCCCAAATGGAAGTCCAATTGCCAGCATCCATACTTCTGGAGTTGACACGGTTGGTTCTCCCACTGTGGCTTCTGTGCACTATTCCATAAGCCCAAATAAAGCAACAACACCCCCTGCTGCAACCACACCAGGAAATTCACAAAGTGGGACAAACATTGCCACGCCAGTGTCAGCAGCACCCGGCAGCTCCCCGTCATCGGTTGCTGATAAGGCACCAACACCAGCAGCATCTCCTTCCCTTAGTGCAACAATGCCCACAACAATAATAACAGGTACACCAACTCTGTCTCCAATGAGTGTACCAACCCCTGAAGTGACACAAATGATCACTTTTGAAATATCTCCAACAATCGACAATGAGCCAACACTAATTGAACCTACTCTTTCCTCGACCAATGATCCAACACTCACCCCCACAGATGAACCTACTTTCTTCCCTACTAGTGAACCCACTCTGCCCCCAACTGATGATCCCACCGCCTCGCCTACTGTTGAACCTACTCTCTCCCCTTCCATTGTGCCGACTCTGACTCCCACCAATGAGCCCACTCTTTCTCCAACAAGTATCCCAACAGACACCCAAGAGGTGCCCAATGGCAACACACCCACCACAATGTCTCCCAGCAAAAGACCCGGTGCAGTACCAAGTGCCTCACCTAGTCAACTGACCAGTACTAGTGACAGCACCCAACCAAGCACCATGCCAAGCAGCCTACCCAATGCATCAGCTGAGCCAAGTGTGGTTCCAAGCATGGCTGCCAGCAAGTCTGACAGCACAAATCCAAGCTCCATTCCAAGCAGCCTGTCCAGTTCATTGTCAGCACCAAGTGTGGTTCCAACCGCAACCCCTATTGCTGATGACAGCATTATGCCAAGCAGCAATCCCAGTGGTACCCCAACTGCGCCCAGCGTGTTCCCCAGCATGAATCCCAGTACCAGTGACAGCACCATGCCAAGCAGCTTACCCAGCGCATCAGCTGTGCCAAGTTTAGCCCCCAGTGCCCCACCCACCGCTTGTGATGCATCTTTTGTTTCACTGGAATCCACCTACAGCATTGGTTTTACTGGAGACATCAACTCATTGGAAGACACAGCATTGACTTCGGCATTCTCAACAGTGCTAGGTTCTATACATGAAGGCAGGTCTTGCCCGCCTACAATAGAGAGTGTTGTAATCTCAAGCAGGCCAGCAGGGATCAACACTGCCAGTGTCAGAGCACATGCAAACCAGCTTTGGGGTGGAAGGAATCTGCAAACATCATCTGTTGGATTCACTGTTACAGCAACCCAAGAACAAGGAAGCACTCTTATTGTGGCTGCTCAACAAGATTTTTTCTTGGACCAGTACACAAATGTTCTCAACACACCTGGAGTTGCAGCAGCATCTATAGTCCTCTCTACCAGCTCCTCCACTGTGCCATCCAGCAGCCCATCCAAAAGCCCATCACAGCAAGCATCCAGTGCACCCTCCTGGATACCATCCAATCAGCCATCAGTGTATCCTAGTGATATTCCCTCAGTGCAACCCTCAGCCAGTCCTTCCAATCAACCCACAACGTCTCCTTCCTCAAGGCCAACAGTGACACCAGGAAAACCAACAGTTAACCCAACAAGTGCATATCCATCTATGACACCTTCAGAGAAACCATCAGTGATTCCATCATCGAGGCCTTCACGTATGCCCTCTCTTAGTCCATCAATCACAGCATCAGTACATCCAAGTAGTATGCCATCAAACAGTCCATCTGGCAGTCCTTCTACTGACCCCTCGAGAACCCCAACATCTTCACCTTCCTTATTACCCTCTGTCACCCCGGGGAATCCCACAACAAGTCCATCAACATCGAATAGCCCATCAAAGAGGCCATCTGAGAGCCCCAGCCTGAGCAATGCACCTAGCATAACACCATCTTCACCACCTTCAGGCAAGCCTTCTGTTGTTCCAGGCAAACCAACTACCAGTCCAACAACATCCAACTCACCCTCAGTGAACCCATCTGAAAGCCCGAGTCAAAGCCATGCGCCGAGTGATAGCCCATCTTCATCACCCTCAACCATCCCTTCTTCAATTCCTTCTGCTTACCCCTCTAGAACCCCGACATCTTCCCCTTCCTCATTACCCTCTGTCACCCCAGGGAATCCCACAACAAGTCCAACAACATCGAATCGCCCATCAGAGAGGCCATCTGGGAGCCCCAGCCTGAGCAATGCACCTAGCATAACCCCATCTTCAGCACCTTCAGCCACACCTTCTGTTGTTCCGTCAAGTGTGCCATCAAGCACCCCAAGCATCCACCCATCAAGCCTGCCTTCCATCATTCCATCGCTGGCACCATCAGTGGATCCCAGCTTAAGCCCCTCCGACGCCCCCTCCATGATGCCGAGCGTTAGTCCTTCTGATATCCCATCCACAAACCCCAGTAGCAGTCCATCTGACCTACCTTCGAATAGTCCCAGCACCAATCCATCTGACTTGCCTTCCTTGAGCCCTTCGGATATCCCCTCTTCCACCCCCAGCAGTAGTCCATCTGACATCCCTTCGAGCAGTCCCAGCACAAGTCCGTCAATGGTTCCCTCCACCAGCCCTTCAGATGGACCATCCACGCTTCCTAGCATCAGTCCATCAGACAGACCATCAATGCTGCCTAGCATCACTCCTTCAGATATTCCATCTACATACCCAAGCTCTAGCCCTTCCTATGTTCCTTCCGTCGTCCCTTCAGATGAACCATCCACACTGCCTAGCATCACCCCTTCGAAAATTCCCTCCTCCAACCCCAGCAGCAGTCCATCTGACTTCCCTTCGAGCAGTCCCAGCACAAGTCCATCAATGGTTCCTTCTGTCAGCCCTTCAGATGGACCATCGACACTTCCTAGCATCAGCCCTTCAGACGCTCCATCCACAAGCCCAAGCTCTATCCCGTCAGATGCTCCGTCCACAAGCCCAAGCTATAGCCCGTCAGATGTGCCTTCCGTCAGCCCATCAGATAAACCATCCATGCTTCCTAGCATTAGCCCTTCTGACATTCCATCCTCTGGTCCTAGCGTGACTCCATCGGATGTGCCTTCGCGTAGCCCATCAGATACACCATCTATGCTCCCTAGCATCAGCCCTTCAGATGTTCCATCTGTCAGTCCCAGCATTGCTCCATCAGATGTGCCTTCAACATCCCCTTCGAGTGCACCATCTGAGACTCCACTGGCACCGGGCTGGTCTTGCCAGAAATTTGAGAGTTGTGGCAGTCGCACAAATGTAGGCACCTCAGGTTGCCAAAATATCTGGCCCACTTTTTCTGACTGCGTTACAGACTGCGAAAATGCTTTTCCAGGGGCTTGTGATGCCATTAATTATTGGAGTGGTGCAGAGAGCACTTCCTCGAGTCCCGTGAATTGTTGTTATAAGGTTGATCCTGCCTGCTCCACAACTACTGCTACCAATCCGGGTGATGGAGCCTATCCATCATATTTTTGTGTAGCTACTCCCTAGCCATCATTGACCCATGAGACCTCATGCAGGTTGCATGTGAAGACTTTGAGACATTGATAGGCAACATTGTGCACATTTTTAAGCAACTAAGACTATCCACCAATGGTTTTCTATTATATGAACAAAATCAGACTCAAATCTTCTCTATCGCTAGCTAGTTGCATTAGGCTGGCCTGCTGCTGCTCAGTAGATAGATTTGGGGTCATTTTTCCCATTTAGCTGGCTAGCTAGCTAGCTTCCGGTACGGCTAGCTAGTGTTGGTATCCTTCATGGCTCAAAACAAGGAGTCTTTCCATAGAGGGGCCATCCAAATCAGTTGCTAGATCTGACTCTTTGGAAAGTCTAAAGCAATCAGTTACACTAGCTAGCTACCTTGGGAGGTCCCTCCATGTGGCTGTGGCCAGTTGCCATTGGGCTTCTCCATTGTGGTGTGGTGTGCGACACGACCGGAAGAGCACGCACTAATTTTTGCTAACAGCTTCCGCTGGCTTGATTTGAATTTTAAACTGTCTGTCCGTCGCAGGGTAGTCACCAAAAGGTTGGCGAAGGCCAAGGCGCAAAACATCGCAGAAAAAACTTTGTGCACGTTGCGGTCCAGGCAGTGCAAGTTAGCAAAACGGCCAATGCAACCGATAGACTCCTTCAGAGTGACAAACAAAACCGCTGCAAGCTAAGCAATCGGTATGTACTTGATCTGACTCAACCATCCATCCTGCTGTCTGCTGCCAAGGATACTAGTACACTCATCTCACACTAAGCGTACGGAACAAAGGAATCCATCACAATGGCAACAGAGGTATCCGCCATCCAGCCATGGTTTCCATCAGTGGAAGATCGATCTTGTGTGCAGTTGACACGAGATGGAATAGAATTTGAAGAGATCTACTGCGTCTACCCATGGTTAAAGCAATTCTACATGAAGTGAGTACAGGCGCGGTAGCAACTCTTTGTCGCAGGATCGTTTCGTTTCTTTGGATCAGCCAATGCTCACAGCCTCGCCTCGCCTTTTTTGTCATCACTTACAAGTTGGGAACTCACATGGCGACCCCTCGGGACTCTACGACTTTATCATGACAAATCCATGGTTCCCAATTACCTGTGTTGTGGTCTATCTCGTTGCCATTTTTGCCGGTCAACGAATCATGGCGCATCAAGAGCCTTACGTCATGAAGAAGACATTGGCCGCCTGGAACTTGAGCTTGGCCATTTTCTCGCTCTTTGGATTTCTGCGAGGTGTTCCACCGCTGATGCACAATTTTACCACCTATGGCTTTGAAGAGTTCCTCTGCAATGATCCGCAAAACTCCATTGGACAATCTGCCACGGCTGTTTGGGGCATCTTTTTTGTCTTGAGTAAACCAGCGTAAGTTCTATCAGATCGAGCGTCTATTGTAGAAGCACTGAAGATGGTTTGTTTGGTTTGTTGACTCTCGGCTTTCTGTTCCCATCCTCTTTCGCTGGTGCTAAAACTCTACCCAACCCTCCCACACATTTGACGACGTTTCGGCTACCGTAATACCAATATCCCACGACAATCTACTGAACTCTGTGCATGGCAATACTACTGCTGTCAATGATCATCCAAAGTGAACTGTTCGATACGTTCTTCATTGTCATGCACAAGAAGAGACTCCTGCTGTTACACTGGTATCATCATGTCACAGTGCTCCTTTGTTGCTGGCACACGTATGTCAGCCATGCTCCCGCTGGGCTTATCTACAGCACCATCAACTATGGTGTTCATGCCATTATGTACTGTACGAACTGCAGCTTTAAGTCGTTATTGTTGTGTGCCGGGTCCGTCCGTCTGTCTCACTTGCGTTGTTGCTGTTATTGTGTGATTGTGCTGCTCCCCTGTGAAACCGAACGAATCTTGACAATCTACATGTACAGTCTACTACTTTCTAATGGCAATCAAGTGCAAACCAAAGTGGTTCAATCCGAAATGGATCACTCTGGCACAAATTACGCAAATGGTTGTGGGAAGTTTGGTGTCCATCCTCTCCTTCCATGCCATTCAAAAACCTGGTTGTTGGGCCAAGTTTGAAAACAACACCAGCATCCTTATCATGTACATCAGTTACTTTTTCCTTTTTGTACAGTTCTTTCTCAAGCGATACGGATGGAGTATCAAGACAAGTGTGGTGGAAACAAAGAAGTCTGCCAAGGCCAAGAAGAAGAAGTTGATGTAACCACGATAGCTTGGATTCCCAAATATGTCACTGGGCCAACCCCTTCATGATACATAGCTCCAGTCAAACTTTAAACGTACACACAAAGAGACACAGAAAGCGGGAACAACTTTACACGGCTCGATCATCGTCCACCATTACACACTTTCGCGGAATGTTGAAAAATGAGGCAGCAACCTACATCTTAGAAAAACACGCACCGTTTCTACACATAAACCTAGCTAGCTTTCGCTACCGGTACATGCAAAGGGAGAGTGACAGTCCCAGTCAGCCAAAGAATGCAATCGAATCTTGATAGGCTCGGCAGTACCTTCGTAAAATTTTCGATTCCTTTGCTCAATCTGAAACACCATTCTTTAGTATTTGCAGGTGGTCGAATTTGCAGCTGCGGGTCAAACCTTGTGCATATTTTGTAGCCAAGAGAGACGAAGAAGGACCAGTTTTGTTGTATCAACTCTCTGCTTCAGTCAGCGATGAGAAGCGGAACAGGAATGGGTGGCGACGGAAGTTGCTATCAGTGCGGAAGGAGGCTTCGCTTTGGTCTCTTTAGCTAAAGGTACCGGTACTGCAGCAATGATTCCATGGGAAGATACCATGTCTCCAGTGGAAGGGCCAGGATCTGCTGGGACTGGAATCTTGGCCGAGAGTGCTCGAGTGGATGCAAGCAAAGCCAAAGGGACAGACCGCGAATGGAAGCATGTGTGTCAGAGTTGCTACGAGCCCTGCGCCAAAGGAGAGGGCACAGAAAGCCGTGGATGCGGAAGCTGTTCTGGAAACGAGGGTGAGTTGGAGCCGAAAACAAAATGTGCGAGCCGTGGCGAGCGGAAGAAGGACGAAAGAGTAACCAAAACTGCCCTCAGCAAACGTTCTAAAATAGCGTGTTTCCTTTGGACTTCCCTCTCTACCAATCGTTAGTGATTCATGGCGTTTACAGGATGCTTAGTTAGTGGCACTCTAGTGCTTGCTTGCTTTGTTTCAACCAAAAAGAACGCTAAGAACCTATTCGGACTTGACTTGGGTCATGATTGGATAGGCCTCCCACTTCTGGTCTTGCCAGAGGATTTCACCATTCGGATCGGTTGCACCGAACTTGGACAGCATATCACCACTGTCGGTGGCATAAAGACGGCGTCTGTTGCCTGCATTTCTGAGGGATATCACGTCGCATGTAATAGAATTGCACGGGTCGGGTCTCGTCTCCCAAACCCAAATCTCGTGGGGCTTGATCGTCTCGTCGCCAACCTTACTGCCAGGGATGAGGTGGACGCCTTTTTCCCATCCCTCGTTCTCAAAATGAGTGCACGCTAAACGCTCCCTGGAATTTCCATTGTAGATGGCGACACAAGCATCTCGGCCTTTGTACGCAGACGGGCAATCCACCGCAAAATCGACGATCCAGTGATTGGATGAAAACTTGTGATTGCCATTTAGGAGGGCACCAACGTGGTTTGTGTTACTGTTGAAGTAGAGTTTTCGATCAGAAAACAGGTTTTTAAAATAGTATCTCGAGAATCTATCAGGGTCAATATCAGGGTCAATTGAGACTTGGTCTCTGCATGCTTCGCCTTCCGTTGGAGTCACGATATCCAACTCAGCCAGGCTAACCTTGGCAGACAAGATAAGGCAAAGAAGTGTAGGGATGGATGACTTCATTGTTGATTCTTTCTTTGTGTTGAATAAAATTTGAGGTGAATACTTACTTTATGAGCCAACTTCTAAAGTCCTTTTGTGAAAAGGCACACTTGGAAGCAATGTGGACTTGTGTATGCTGGCCGAAACACTGGACCTCGTCTTGGTCAGACCTTGCTTGTGCCTTGTGATACCTTCGCAAAGAAGGATGCTGTCTAGTTAGAAGTGAGAAGTCCAATACCCACTGGAGGTGCTGCCTTGTGTGGTGGTGGGCAGATCACATCATGCAGATTGGAGGTGTGACTGGCCGACTGCTGGCTCTTTGTTTCAAAGTGTGACTGGCCAACTCCTTTACATCATGTACGTTTCATGCTTTTCTCTCGCCTGCAATCCTTCCTACCATGCACTACCTCCCGTATGGGTACATTACGTGGGGTTCTAGAGTAGGGAGTTTTTATGGAAGCCGGAAGAATGCAGGCTTAGGAAAAGAAAAGGCAAAATTGAGGACCTGGTTTCAACCGAAGACAAGCTTTCTTTTGTGGAGAGTTTGGTGGTGAGACATGGAAAGCGAACGAGGTCCCCAAAACTTTTTTCAAAGCTAGCCGTTCGTGTTGTACATGTAGCTATTGACTCTATCATCATGGTGTTGTCGTGATACTTTCTAAATTTCTTGTTACTCTAGTAAAACTAACCAAATTCCGTTCGACCCGGGGGCAGGAAGGGAAATTAGATATCGCGCCACAAAGGCTTGGCTTTCCATTTCTGGTCGCCGTACACATGGCCCCCATCTCCAGCACCAAAATTCTTCAACTTATCTCCTGTATTCTGAGCAAAGAGACGGCGACCATTGGTTCCAGCATTTTTAATGGTAACTAAATTGCAGGGTTCAACGCCTTTGCATTCCTCTATCCTTTCCTCCAATGCAAATATCTCATTTGCCGGGATGTTCACATCACCAAGGTTGCTGTTCGCAACCATGTATATTCCACCTTGCCAGCCTTTGGTGTTCTCCTCTATCGCCAACCTCTCCATGGTAGCACGATTGTAGAGAGCATAGCAAGTCTTGGCAGGTCCCTTGTATGTAGAGGGGCATTTGTCTTGGGCATGGAGAATCCACTGATTGCTCTCGAACTCCTTGTTTCCGTTGAGAAAACCTCCGACTCTGCTTTCATCGCTGCTAACATAGAGCAATCGCTTGGAGTAGTTGTTTTCGAAATTGTAGATGGGGTACCCATTCTCATCCGCGACAGCACACTGCTTTTGGAGCTGGCGGAACGATGCTCCAAGCTTTCCTTCAATGGATGGAGCCAGGAAAAGGAGAGTTATGGTAGAGATGATCGTCTTCATGGCACGGTACGGTGAGAGTATGTTCGTGTTTGAGCTGCTAGTACAAATCGAAGTTTGAGTTATGAGCTTTCCCAGGCAGCCAGAGATCGCGTTCTGAGTATTATGCATGGGATACTTTCGCACCTTGCTTGCGCTCTCTTTTGCTACCTTATCATTGCTACAGTATATGTTCTACACCGCACTTGTACAACCAACTCGTTTGCTACAGGTTTATTGATACCATACCGGTAGGTACCAGTACTGTACGGTCGCCATGGACAGCTTCGAGCAATGCGCTGCACCGTTACTGAGCTTGTTGGAGCCAGCTCGTCGAACGATGATCATCTGCTGCGTGACTGGATGAGCGCGAGCGCACTGAAACCCTATGGGACTCGACTCAGTGCGGGTATCGTCATGGAAGTTTCACTCAAGCTCTCGTTGAACACTTAGGCTCAGTTTCAACTACTTTTTGAGAATTGTTGAATCGGTCATTCGGAGGCCATTTCCATGAGGCCCTAATCAAGATCACCCAAGACCACTTTCAACTAGTCAGTTGCCAATTCGGAAAATGTGACTCCCACCAAGGGCCACGTGGCAATGGAAACCAATGATACCCAATGCGAAATCCAATACCAACGGGGCATGCGAGGTTGATTGTTGTCATGGTTGTCTGCCACAGAATTCGGTAGCCAAGTATACAAAAGCGAGACAATGTTCCTTTGTTGCCTCATCCTAGTAGTGTCTTTGGTGTTACCTTTGGTATCAAGTGTAAAGGACCATCCTCTTGAGGATTTCTGCAATTTCGCTCAGGCCTCCGTGTCGTTGTTGTCTGCCGCCGATCCTGGTCTGTTTGAACCCATTGGCGACACTCGAGGAGGAGGAAGGCCACACCAGAGCAGGAAGAGGAAGTACGTTAATGACATCTTCAACGAGCTTGGACCTCATTACGTCAGACGAGCTTACCGGATGGAACCAGCTTCTTTTTGGAAGCTTGTTCGGTTGCTGAAGCCGTTCCTTGAACCTTCAAAGAAGAGGAAGTCGTGGAAGAGTGGTGCCAAGAACGGCCTGATCCCATTGCCAAGCAAAGTCAGTTCTGCAATTAGGTATTTCGCTGGTGGAGCTGCGTATGACATTGCTGTCGTTCATGGAATAGGCCACACGGACGTGTACCGCAGTATCTGGAAGGTTGTGGACGCCGTCAACAAATGCCCGCAGCTTGATTTCTCTTATCCAACTGATCATGAAGAACAGCAGAAGATTGCAGATGGATTTAAGAAAACCAGTCGGGGTGTGTTTGAGTGTTGCGGTGGAGCAGTCGACGGCATCTTGATCTGGACAGAAAGGCCAAGTGAGGAGAGTTGTGAGGACGCCGAATGTGGACCAAAGAAATTCTTCTGTGGTCGCAAGAAGAAGTTTGGATTGAACATGCAGGGAACCTGTGACGCTCACCGTAGATTCCTTGATATTTATGTGAAGCATCCTGGCTCGACGTCTGACTATCTTTCCTGGACATCATCCCCCCTTTACCATAACATCGAGCAAGAAGGGTTCATGAAAAAAGGAATTTGTCTCTTCGGGGATAATGCATACGTCAATACACCCACGATGGCAACTCCATACAAGGCTGTCGGATCTGGCACAAAAGACTCCTACAACTACTTCCACTCCAATGTGCGCATCACCATCGAGTGTGCTTTTGGAATGTTGGTCCGACGCTGGGGAATCTTGATGCGTGCCTTCCCAACAGCTCTTACCATCGCCAAAGTGACAGCCATGGTGCGCTGCCTTTGCCGCCTGCACAACTTCTGCATCAATGAGCGATTGGAGAGGATGGCAACAAATTCGCAAGTGGATTCTCCTTCTGAGGAGTGCACAGAGGAAATGGCCGAACGTCTTGCAAGTGATGAGATGAACATCGTGGTGGGCGAGGGAGGAATGCACTTGGATTGCAAAGGCGATGAATACCGACCGACAGGATTACTCGATGGAGGCCACCATTTTGATGACGTTTCTTACTGGTCCAGAGCTTATCGAAAGAAGAAGAATGGTGAAACTTTACCCAGAGAGCTCATGCACGAAACAATCCAACTGCAGGGTTTGCAGCGACCAACACCCAAGCACTGGGTGGGAAACACTCCTGCTCGCTCTTATCAAACTTAGTTGCTAGAGATAATCATTACTTAGCACATGAGCTCAGACATATCTTCCATGTAGATTGCATTAACCGTGCTCGTGCAAGAAAGCGCTTCGCTCGTGCAGGAACGGTGCAGGAACATTTCGCCAAATTTGAGAGAGGACCAACTGTTTGCGAGCGACTATTCTTGACAGAGATGGACGAAAGCGAGGAACTTGGTTGGTGCATCCTAAGTCTACTATTCTAATCTCTAAGTCCAGCACATTTGTCAAACGTTTCAAACTATCTCTTTATCACCAGAGGCAACAAGCACTCTTTCTAGAATACTCACATCGTTGCCACCACCACAACACAATCTTTTTCTTTCGTAAAGCAAGAACAAACAACCAACCACCATGGCGCTCCTCAATATCCAACTGATGCCGTCTTCGATCCTTCCACAATATCATCACCATCATCGTCGTCGTCATCACTATCATCACTGTCATCACTGTCCAGCATCTGAGCGGCAACATTGACTTGGAAAGGGACTGCTGTCTTGGTCCTCTTCTTCTTTTTCTTGGGCTTCATCGCATCTTCGCAATCCAAGGTATCAAGGCATTCCTGGATGGCTGTGCAGTTGGCTTCAAGCATACGGATGCGTCCCATGTACAACTCGCTCAAGTTGGTGCTTTTCGTTTTCATTACTTTGAGCTGGGACTCGAAAAGTTTCTCTTGTGTCTCACGAAGTTCCTTCCAAATAGCCGCACGCGACATGGTGTGCATGGCAAGGCTCATCTTTGCACGGAAGAAACCAAGGGCTCTTTCATCCGCCTTCCTCTTTCGAGCGCTGGCATTATCCGACGGAGCCACCGAAGAACAGGCCAATGTACTGGCGGCACAAGATTCAGAGATAACGGACATTACATTCTTCAGAATTTCTTGGTCATCGGAAACATGCCACAAGTACAGGATGTGCTCCTTGGTTTGGGAGTCTAGGAAATTTGCCCTGTTGTCACCACACTGCAACTCATCTTCTCCAAGATGACCGAACGCCTCATCTTCCTCAACACGCTGGCCAAATCCATTTCCACTGAGTTCCCACTTCGCGATGATCTTGATCAATTTGGCACGGCAGTCACCCCAGCGGCGCTTCACCTCATCGGGAGTTATGGCCCCTGGCATGTGTTCGAAAGAACAATCCAAGACTTCAGCAAAGGAAAAGTGAAGATCAGGTAAGCAGCGAGAGAAAACCTCATGGTCATTGTCATTGAATAAACGGGCACATGATTCATATACCGTTTCGGGCCTGTCTTCTGAATTGCGCGCATCCAACTCCTCTCTGTCACCCAGCCTGTGCATCTCCAGGAACTTTTCGCGGATGGAATCGTCCAACATACACTCAATCAAGCGTACGTATGGCTCTGTTGTCACCCATGGCGAAGCCTTTTCCTTCTTATTCTCACTCTTCTCTTCTTGTGCCTCACGGCAGTGGGCCCTCATCACCAGATCGAAGAGTTTCATCTCTTCTTGAATGACAAAGGCACGATCGTTAGAGTTCTGAAGTGGGTGGGCCTGCAGCCACCCAAGACACTTCTTCCTTTCCCAGTTTCCACACTTCGGTCCAGGAATAATGCCCTCTAGGATGCAGCGGCGGCGGATCTCCTCACAGAAATGCTTCTGCGTTGGTACCACCTTCTTCTTCAATTTCATGGAACAATACGGCTCCACTTCCACGTTGCCTGCTTCACGTAAGTCAAATGTCTTCAGACCAATGCACATTGCCAGAAGATCAGCAGCCTTTTCACCACCGCATTTGTAATACCTTTCTGTAGGCCGAACAACACTTTGGTCTGGATGCACTGCTCCAAGTTCATGGTAAGGAATGGCAGTCAAAGCACGCTCGTTAGTTTTTTCTTCACTCATGGTACTTCTATTATTTCTTGTTTCGTCTCTTCAAATCCAGGAATTATATGATGCAACTCTATTAACTCGACATAAAGCAATGACAATGGCAATGCTACTGCTTACCGAACCTGCACACAAGCCTGGTTGGCTTTATACCAAACCGGTAGGGGTAAGTGGCTTTCTTGGTGCGAGCCATTGGTGTTACATTGGTTGTATGAAATGAGATATGCAGCACTCGACGGCTCACATTGTCATTGTTGCCTTCTTTGTTTCTTTGCAAGCTGCGAGAAAGAAAGCAGATTGGGGATGCTTCTTCCAGAATGTTCCCCAACTTGACTTGGCTGGTGTCTGGACGGGCCAATCAGAATGGTCTGGGGAAGCCAAACCTGAATTCACCTTTGCGCAGACGGAGGCCGTTGGAGTTTGCCCAAACCTGAATTCAGGTTGGCTGCAAAGGCCTCTTTTGGGTGACATTCTGACATGGTCATCTTCAACAAGGCCCGATTCTCCGATTTGACCCTCATTTTCGAGTAGTTGAAACTGAGCCTTACTTGTCCATTGCGTGTTCGATTAAATGGGGATGGGCAAATCTTGCAATAGCCCTGTATTGTAATGGATGTGACTGGCTAAAATCAGTTAAAAAGACGAAATTCGTATTTTGGCCGGAAGATAAATTTAATTGGATTAGATTGGATTGCATTGCATTGAATTGGATTGAATTGGATTCCAAATAGTACTGTTATTTATATAGTAAACTGTAATTCAATGCAATCCAATCAAATCCAATGCAATCCAATCAAATCCAATAGAGAAAAACAGCCAAAGTAAAAGATTGGCTTAGCGCACACAATTTTTACAAAAACGCTCTAACAAATTCAACACAGAGCCATGGGCAAGCTTGCTCATCCCCAATGCCACGTCCTTGCAAGCACTTGTGTAGAGATCAATAGAGAAAACGATGGATCATTCCTGGTCTTGTTGGCGAGCGAAGCAAAAGCTTTTTGACCAAGCTCGCAGCAAACACAATCTATCGTACCCCTACAGTATACCATCACGAGGAATGATTCGATTCAATCTCAATTGGATCGTGCGGATTGTCCAAAGGCCTCGGGAAATGTGGCCATAGCTTTCATCAGGATTGGATGGTATGTTTCAATCGATCTGGAGCTGGAGACGAACGGGACTAGTATGATCGGAAATGCACAAATGCACCCATCGTCAAGACCCACAAGCCCTTCAGACAGCCTGAGGGCCTTCTCAAGGCGCAGAGAAAACATCGCTTGTCGGTAGAGTAGAGAGGCATGTGACAGCCCTGTACCATGCTTTGGCCTCTGTTGCTACAAAGATTCGGAACACCAACAGAATCTTTGAAAGTCATTTGACATCGATTATCTCACTTTTTTGCAACATTCACCTACAAACAATCAGCACACAACCAACGATATCGAGCCATAGAAACCGACAGCACAAGCCATGAAGACTGCGTCCATTGCATCCATTCCCTTCCTCTTGGTCACTACATTCGCAATCGCCACGGGCTGCCAGCTTCCTGATACCATCAAGGATGAAACGGGCCAAGTCATCCCCATTTACTTCTTTAAGAACATGTTTTCCGGGAGAAGCTTGTTTTACCCGCAAGAAGACGATGGACGAGTAGGAGCGGTACAGCATGCAAATCATAATTGTATGAGGAATACGTGGTATCTCAGACTCCTCGACTCCTGCCCCAGCACCTACAAGGGCTCCAGGCACAATAGCTGCATGGTCCTGTACAATGTCCTCAAGGGAGAACGTTTGTCCATTGCGTCGGATGGATCCGTCAGGACTATTCCCAATAGCAAGCTGGAGGACCCCTTGGACGAGATCAAGCCCAATGAGATGTTTGTATGGGAGACGAGGCAAGACACTGACCGCTGGCAAAGTAAGCGCGTGCCCGCAGAGTCTTGCAAGGGCCATGGTTCATTTTGCGATATCATTGCCCTCAGAGTGGCCGATGGATCCAATAGGAACGTGTTTGCCCGAGAAAAGTATAACCGATTGGAACACTTTGGTTCCGGAGGAGGAGGTACGGTGTGGGCGGATCAACAGTGGAGTGCCCGAGAAATGTGGGACTGAAGAAAAACATGTATTCTTTAAAAAAAAGGCAAAGATCGAGGAGAGTTGGAAGGGGCAAGCGTAATAGTCAGGGGTATGTACGCATTGCACAAGTAAATCACGATAGGGTTTTCTGAAAATGGTTCTAGCTAGCTATGGTAGCAGCTGCCGGTACGATGGCATATTTCTGGCAATATCATTTGTGGTCAGGACAAAGTATTCTGGTTTGGTTTTCGAGATGCAAAACTGCGCCCAGCCGCCTCTCGTCTTTCAACCACCTTCTCGTCTGATGTCAACCTATCTAGCTAGCTAGAGCATTCCTCATTCATCAGGGGCAAAGGAAATACATGTGTGTGTTTGCACACCAGGAATGGCCTTCTTGCGGTATGAGCCACCTCCACTGCCCAAAGTCCACCACAAGGGCATTTCCGAACAGCCCCAGGGATCAGACACACTGCCTTATTTCTCTAGAAAACCATCTGGCTTAAACGTTAGTGCTGGTCGGACATTCAGCCACTCCTCTCACAGCCACACAGCCGCCCCCGCAAACCGCAGCAAGAGAAGATCTCGATCGCAGAGCACCCAAGGATGATGGCCGAGGGAGTGCTACCGTCGTTATGATGGCCGAGGGTGTGCTACTTGTATCAAAGAGGTTGTTTCACATCCCCGTCATTCCTTGTCCCGAGCAAGAGCCTTCTTCCTTGAATGAATCATTCATTCGCCATGGTACGTCATCGTTATGGTTGAACTGCTATAATCGATCATAAAAACTCCTTTTCCTTCTGGGCATTTTTGCGGCTGGGAGATCACTTGTGCAGTTTCTTGCCGATGCTGCGATCTCTGTCAGCAATGGCTTGCCTGGTCTACAAAGGGAGAACATTATTCATCTTGAGTGGCTTTTATTAGAGCGCCATATCGGACCATCACCCACCGGTTGGCGCGTCGGTGCTGCCCAACAGTCCATTGAGGAACTGCAGACGAGGTGGTACTAGCTATTCTCACCATTTCGTTTGGCTCTCTGTTGCTACTATATTTGTACATGCAGGTCTCTTCATTACCGGTATCTACGGTTGGTTGCTAGCATGGAACCCATCTAGCTAGCAACTAGCTGCTCAAAGTTGTAGCCACAGGAAGTGTTTCATAACGACGCGATGTGCCTCCACTAGGAGCGTAATTCTGCCGAGGCGCAGCAATGCCGGGTGGATCTTTGCCTGGGGCCTGTCGGAATGATTGATTCAATCCGAAATTGATCTTGCGAAAGTCTGGAAATTGCTCCATTCAGACTGCAGGATCCGCCTTCAGAGCCTTCGCACCATTGGTGGACTTTTGAGGTCTTCTAGCTAGCTAGAAAGGCCAGGCAATCCTGATGACACACTCCTCACACTCTCTAACTAGCGCTAGCTTTGGTAGCTGTTGCTGGTTCACATAAATTAGATGTTGCTTGTGTTGCTATCGTGGTCGCTTAGTTTAGTTGGTACGCTAGATTCACGTCGTCATTCCGCTTCACTACAATCATCACTTGCATGCTGCGTCTACGCTTTCATTGTGAGTGCATTTACTTCAGTCCTGTCTTCCAAAGCGCATTCCTCCAACCACCACCACAACCTTCGTTGCCACCGCCTTTGCATTCCTTCCCATCACACTCACTGTCGTTCACCTTGCCGTATTTGTCAAAGTCATCGTTGAAGGCGCCGCAGAAGCAATACTTTCCGGATTGCAGGGCAAAATAGTAATAACCCTTGTCTTGACACGTCGTCTTGCACTCATCAAAGGAATAGTTGTGTCCAACTTTATGGGAAAGTGCCCTGTCACTCTGATCTTTGTAGCAGCCCTTGTATTCGGCAATGGGCTCAAACCCAGTGGCGTACACACTGTTTCTTCCTGGACCGCCACAAATGCCAGAACCCGTCGTGCAATCCATAGAACATTCACTCTCTGTGTGTGTGTGTCGTCGTCAAGTCCACAGCAATGGATAAAACACCAGCAAGTTCCAATGTCAGACAACAACAGAAACCATCATTGCAAGTGAATACAGTATCGAATCGGATTCAACGACTCACCGGGACGAACGCCACCATATTTGTCATAACCAGAATGCCCACAGCGACACTCGCTTTTGAATTGAAGACCGGCATACTTGAAGCCTTTGTTGAAGCAATCTTCGATGCAACCGTCCAACGTGAATCCGTTGCCCAAATGGACCTCGAGAGCACGCGGGGAGGAATCCTTGAAGCATCCGATATATTCAGATGAAGGCTTGTAGCCAGTCAGATAAACGCTATTTCTGTATGCAGTTGTGTCGCAAAGAAATAGGGGGTTAGAACACACGCTGAAATGGTGATGGTACAGCGGAGGTCGAACAAGCCATTTGGCGTACCTATAACCTCCACCGCATTTCCCCAAGCCATATTTGCAATCTTTTTGGCATTCGCTTTCCGGCAGCTTGCTGCTATGCTTATCGTAGGCAGAATTCCTGGGAGATCCATGAAAAAACGATTTGTGAGCGGCATGCCATCATGATGATTCCGTAGTGATGAGCGGTACACGCATGCTTACCCGCAGAAGCATTCATCTGCCGCTTGGGGCCTGATCGATCCTAAATTGATATTGCCGAACGTCTTGGAAATGGGTCCGTTGGGGCTGCCAGGATCCGTCAGAGCATTGGCACCAGTGGTGGAATTTCCATTCTGCCTGCCTACTGTTGACAGAGAAGGGTGTGGAGTCTTCTAGTTAGAGTAGGCCAGGCAATCCTGGACACTTCACTCCTGACATTCTCTAGCTATCTAGCCGTTGCTGGTTCACGTAATAGATGTTGTGTTGCTATCATGGTCACTCATTAGAGTAGGTTTGGTACAGTAGATTGAATCGACACTGTCGCCTGTCCCGTCATTCCTGTTCACTGCAATCGTCACTTCGAAACCTCCGCGCATGGTTGCGTGGATGCCCACACTCTTTAGAACTGAACTTATTTCAGCCCTGTCTTCCAAAGCGCATTTCTCCAACCACCACCACAACCTGTGTTGCCGCCGCCTTTGCACCCTTCCTCCACTCGCTGTCGTTCACCTTGCCGTATTTGTCAAAGTCATCGTCGAAGGCGCCGCAGAAGCAATAGTTTCCAGATTGCAGGGCGAAATAGTAATAACCCTTGTCTTGACACTTCGTCTTGCACTCATCCAAGGATTGGTTGGGTCCAACTTTATGGGAAAGTGCTCTGTCACTCTGATCTTTGTAGCAGCCCTTGTATTCGGCAATGGGCTCAAACCCAGTGGCGTACACACTGTTTCTTCCTGGACCGCCACAAATGCCAGAACCCGTCGTGCAATCCATAGAACATTCACTCTCTGTGTGTGTGTGAACACAAGTGCACAGCAATGGACAAAACACCAGCAAGTTCCAATGTCAGACAACAGGAACCATCATTGCAGTTGAATACAGAATCGAATCGGATGCAACGACTCACCGGGACGAACGCCGCCATATTTGTCATAACCAGTGTGCCCACAGCGACATTCGCTTTTGAATTGAAGACCGGCATACTTGAAGCCTTTGTTGAAGCAATCTTCGATGCAACCGTCCAACGTGAATCCGTTGCCCAAATGGACCTCGAGAGCACGCGGGGAGGAATCCTTGAAGCATCCGATATATTCAGATGAAGGCTTGTAGCCAGTCAGATAAACGCTATTTCTGTATGCATTTGTGTCGCAAAGAAATAGGGGGTTAGAACACACGCTGAAATGTGATGGTACAGCGGAGGTCGAACAAGCCATTTGGCGTACCTATAACCTCCACCGCATTTCCCCAGCCATATTTGCAATCTTTTTGGCATTCGCTTCCGGCAGCTTGCTGCTATGCATATCGTAGCCGGCATTCCTGGGATATCCATGAAAAAAGGATTTGTGGAGCGGCATTTGGTCATGATTACCCCTAGTGATGAGCGTTACACGCAGTGCTTACCCGCAGAAGCAATAATCTGCATTTTGAAGCGCTGCGTACTTAAAGCTCAGATCGTGACACTCAGTCCTGCAGTCATCGATGCTTTTTCCTGGCCCAATGGGGGGTGAGCGCACGAGGACTTTTCGCATCCATGAAGCATCCCACATAGTTGGCTTGCTGCTCTTGACCTGAAAAGCCGGTGGTCCACACCGAATTTCGACGACCAGCACCTGTCAAACGAGGAAACAAAATTCCGCAAATACACAAGGTCGTCAGCACCCACATAGAGTATCTTTCGTTTGGGGCCTACCAACAGGTCCTTCTTACCACAATAGCCGTTCTTGTCCTTGCATCTGGACTTGCAGTCCATTTCAAGAGCATGACCATGCTTATCAAACTCTGCAGTTGCAGCTCCGCAAAAGCATTCCTTCCAGTTTTGCATGGCAGCGAAATGATAGCCACCAAGTTTGCATGCCGCCGTGCACGTATCTATTGGATACATGTTCCCCTGGAAAACGGGCAAGCCTCGGTCGTTGGTATCCTTGTAACATCCCACATACATGGGCTCATCAGTTTCGGGCGTTGATGCGACGAGTTGCATACTTGCTTGACGTTGACTTGCACCCAAAAGATACGAGGACGGACTTGGGTAACTGGATGGCTGGTATGTGGGCGGTCCCACAGTGGGAGCACCAGTTGGAGTTCCGGGAGTCACTGTTGGATTGCTTTCAATTGCTAACCACCTGGATCGATGACGCCTCTGATCTCGATCCTAAAATACTGACCTGTGCTCACGTCGCGGGGACCGCTAGCCAAAATCGGCGCCACAGGGAGCCCCTTCTTCTTCTTCCAAAGAGCATTGCCAATGTCGAACAATTGCGCCACATTTATCTCTCCAAAGTCCCACATTGAAAAGCTTCTTCAAAGGTCCAATCCTGGGGGAACCCCAGCGAACCTACTTGACCATAGGCCCCGAATCTTGCACCATAGTTGTGGTCCTTTACTTCCAATCCAACCCCAAAAGCAATCATTTCTTCGAAACTGGCTTGTCCAATCTTGTAAAGGGGAGCCAGTTTGCTTCCCAGCTGCCTAGAAACCATACCACTGTGCAGTTTGAGATTCCTCCTGATCCCTCCGTACTTATTGAAGTCTTGTGCAGCTCCCATTTTTTCCCTGTAAGCTCTGATCGGGTCCCACTTGAACCAACCATGTCTATCGTTCTTAATGTCAACAGCCAACTTCCTGTTTGACCAAAGTTCCAAAAGTCAAGATGAGTTTCAGTCGGAGGACAGCCACAAGAAGGCAAACTAAAAGTGAAACAGTTGGCTCGACTTACTTGTTCTGGTATTTGGTGACCGAATTTTGAATGTCCTTGGTCCTAAAAACCCAATAATCGACGCAGTTGATGATTTTCTTGGTTGTAGCCTTGTCCAGGTTTTTGAAGCGAAAGTCTTCAGCCGTATCTCTCAACTTTTTCATGTCACTTAACTTGCAGCCATTATTTCTTGTCTCATCATAGGTCATGTCCTGTGATAGCCATGCACGTCTCATTTCTTCACATGGTAAAAAGTACTTGTGACTGCTCTTCCTTGTTCCTGTTTTGGACTTATTCTTGACACACATGAGGTATCCATCAAGAGCACGATCAGTGATAATGTTATCGATGTCCCCAGCGAGCTCAATTGCCTTTTTA